TTCTCTTCTGATAATCTTTAAATTATTAATATTAACCTTTTTATAAAACTATAATAAATACATCATAAAGTTGGTAGTTACGACTTTCGAGTAATAAGCCACTATAAAAGGCCCATACTCATAAATGAAGCCCAAAACCCAATTTCTGCATCTATTATTCTTATTAGGTAGAGTCTATGGCCGGTTTTGAATGGTAGTTCATACGTACAGAACAAACAAAGTGGGTGAAGAAAAAACAACACATTGCTTATGCAGAGGTTAACCAATAAAACTGATGTTAACCAACACATTGTTCATACGTACTTCTTTTGTTTCGTCTGAAACTACAGTCTAAACAAAATAAATATATCAAAAATTATTAAATTGTATAATATACTTGTGTATAAATTTAAAAGCAATGGATTTGTTTTCTTATCTTATAAAATTTGTCAAGGCACTGATTTTCATAAAAACTCCCATGATCACATGGATTTTAGCCATAATTTGTTTTTTATTTACTAATACCACAAATAATTGACTCATTTGTCTTGTTATGTGTTTCTATGGACGGCAACAATAGTAAAATGGCAACATGATATATAGTTAATTAGAACTAAGTCAAACCCTGTTCCCTAATTTTGAAAATAAACACGGTAATCAATTTTTTTCCTGATTAAAAGAGTTCAAGAAAATGTCTAATCTTTTTTTTTTTCAATATGGGTTTTCCATTCTAAAATGATGTCCAAACTTCAAAGTCCCTAATTGCCAACCTCGTGAACAAAGAGCGTGAGTGCCTAACTTAATATAGATAATATATGGAAAAGTCTTTTGATTTTATGAGAAAATTTGACTTTATAGTTACCAAAAAAAACTGATATTCTTTGGTAGTGGCAGACAAATGACATGGTGAGCTTCACTCCAGTTCACATCACGTGGAGTCATGAAGGTAACACACGTGCGAGTTTGCTTCTCAATTATCAACTAGCAGTTCAAAACATAATTAAGTTTTTGATTAGTTCTTAATAATAAGTCAAAAAATATTTAAATTAGAAAAAATTAAGTATTTTAATCAGGTTTTTACAATCTTTCTTCATTGGATCTGAAGCTGAAGCAGTTTCCAGGAAAAGTGGAGAACCTTGAAACTAAAGTTTCCCTTTTCTCTTTAATAAAGTTTTACTATTATAATTAAAAAATGGATTAATAACTAACAAAATTTTAATATTAAAATAAAAATGAAAAGGTTAATATAAATAAAATCTTCAGAACTTGGAACAAACAACAATGGGTCAATCTTGTTTCTTCAAAGTTGTTCTTGTTTCCTCTCTTTTACTACTAATCTTCTTCTCCACTGGTAATAATAGCTTCCTTCTTTCTTAATCACCTTGTAGTATTATTAATTAAGAGTTTATATTTTGGTCCCTTATATATTACTGTGATTTTGAATGTTATGCCTGATATTTTTGATTTTGAAAATTGTAATTAAGCCATGGGAAGAAACTTGCGAACTGCAAAGTTTTCAGGAGTTTATAGAACTGTTGTGTTATTTCCTTCCAAGGTACACATCTTTCTTCTCTAGTTCTCTTTAATCAGTTAAAAAAACAAAAAAAAACAAATCTAGGAAGTTAAATTGTTGAGGTAGTACTTAATCTCAATAGGAGATCTCGCGTTATGTATTTCCATGTGATAGTGATGTTTTGTTCGATCGGTTTGTGTAAGGTAATGTGCTTAATTAGTCTCTCTCTATTTTCCGATGTGCTTAATTAGCTTGTATTATCTTTCGTAGTTCTCATTTCGGCTAATATAATCTCAGATTAC